AAAAAGAAAATTACAACTTTGTCGTTTGCCTGGAAGTTACTACTTTTTTAGGTTTGGTTAATTAAAATTTTTAAAGAGAAAATTCAAAATATACTTATGTAAGTAATTCACACTAATTCAATGGAAGCTTTTGTGTGGTAAAGCTTTTGGCAAAGCAATGTAGCAATATCAACTTTTAAGATTTAATAAAGCGACTTGTTTTCACAAATATTTATACACATAATATAAATACAAATTAGGATTACAATAATTTCGCCCGCTTTTCATAACGATCTTGTATTAATATTTGCTTTAATACGTAATTGCTTGGCAACAATTTATTAGCGTGAAATTAATATACCTTCTCCTACTCAAAAAAACAATATTGTTACTTGAATAGAGTCTTACAAAAGCATAGAGTTCTTGTATCTACTTATCTAACGTATTTCTAAGAGTACGTACATATATCATTGAGTAACGTTACAAATTTTAAACCTTTTGCTTTATTAAAAACAACAAACGTAAGCTACGGTTATTTCATAATCGGCTTCGTTTTTTTATAGTACAATAATACAGATACAAAACTGTAGAGAGTTGCAGCTTTACCGATACATCCCTTTAGTACTTTGCTAATTGATTCATTCGATCGCCGAAAGAGCCGGCCGCTAGTAACGCCGACTACATGCACTTTTCATTTAATCGTCCTGATTGATCTGTTTCCCGATTGTAATCCCATTAAAATTGATTCCAATTTGTTAGTGCGATTGATCATGTTTTGATTTTTTTAATTTAGTTTTGATAATTTTAATGTAGGCAGGATATAAACATTCTAACCGTGGGTTTCGACTGCGTGTTGTAAGGACACATATGTTTGTCTCTGTTTTTTTAAAGACAATAAGTGAGAAGCAATGTGTCTAAATTTTATCACTACAGTGGGAAGCCGCATCATTTAAGAGTTAAAGCAAAAAAAATGGCAAAATTTTCTATGATGGTTAGCGTTAATAGAAAGAAAAATGCATATTATTGTAATCGATACTAGTAAATGCTACAGATTAAAAGGTGTTTTGATTTTCTTGAAAGATTTTTTTTTAATTCGCCGACTATAATGCGTAGCCATGCTAGTGTTAAAATAACTTAATATATGTAAGTTATGAACATAATTATAACCAATTTTAATTAACATTTCAATTATTATATTTAAAGGGAAACAATTTAGATTTTTTCACTTAATATGAAAATCATTGCCATAAGTAGCATGTCAACCACTAATTATTTTTTTATTAAACTTCAGGGAGCAATTATTCATCCGACAATTGTCAAAACTACTGAACCGGCATTTATTTTCTACTAATAGACTTTAACGCGATAGGTTACAATATCACTGTTTCTAAATTCCCGTCCGCGCTATTAAAATTGACTTTTAGGTGCGTACGAGGTGCAACATTAATTTGTACTTAACGTTACATAATTTTTACCGCTACGCCGGCATTTGCTTAGTTCATTCAGATAGTGCCGACAATACTGTCGGCATCAGCGTAGCTTAGGCTACACTCGAGCGACTTCGCTTGTGCACTTTTGATTTCATACGAATCGTGTGAGCCGACCTGCCGAGAATGACGTCCGTTAGAAATCACAGCCGTTTCATATCTTATTCGGGAGTGAACCAGTTCACTCAGATCTCGGACGTCGGTGAACAAAAAAACTAGTTCAATGTTTCCGCGCAAAAAGTAGCGGTCACCTGCATCAATAAAGATACGCCCATCACCGCCTCAGCGAGATTCATTTTCGAAACTTACATTGTTTTGTTCTAAGATGTAATTATTTTATTATAAAAATCGGTTAATTATAAAAATCTTATTTCCATAAAATAATATTTTTGACTACCTCAAATGTTGCATATGTCATATTAGGCGAATGAATCAATCGATCAACGCCGTCTACATATTCTCTGGCTCGTTCCCATCCCCGCTTCTCGAAGCGGCTCCCAGTTATCGAGGCTTCGATTTCTATGTACGCGTGGTTAACGAGTCTGCCGCTATAGCCCGTTAGTGATTCGCCACATGAGTATGAGGTGCGCGTAAGATAATCGCTCTCGCTGGAATGGGATATTGCTATAATTTAATAACTGCACGATTTTCTGTACTTGGCACACCAATTAAGTTAAGGTTAAGTATTAAACAAAATATAGTTTTCTTCCAAATTAATTCAATCATTTTGGACTTGGTTTGGTTTAATAATTTTTTTGTCTGTCAATGAATAGATGCGTAAAGTAGCTCGTACTATAAAGTAATAGTCTCGATAGAATAGAGTGGGATGAGATCGAGCGAGTATAGTAACGTTAAGGTACAGCTGTAAGAAAGAGTGGCATTGCATGGCGAGAGCGGTACCGGCGCGGCGACGGCAGGAGACCGGGGACCGGCATGGTGG